TCTCCTTTCCCTACCAGTCCCATTCTTCATGGTTTTCATCTGGGTGGGTGGTTGGTTAATCTGTCGGGTTGGGTTGAGTTACTTGATCTAGTTTGCTTTGTATTCACCAGATAGTGCAGTACAGCTAAACACAGACTAAACAGAAGATCAAAAATTTGAGTTGTTTTCTTTAATTCCAAATTTAGCCAATGCACAGCCTTGAAAAAAGGAAATCAGTGGCGTTTGTCGATATGGACTACCTGTCAGAGGGTCATTTTAATAATTACCAGCTCCCTTGAAGCCAGTGACATATGAGAATACTTCAAAAAGTTCATGGAAAAATAGAATTAAAGGATAATATGACCCTTTCCATGAACTTTTTGAAGACTTCTACTAGTGGGAAGACTCAGGCCTCTAATTATCCTCTTCCCCCACTGCAGGCTTCTAATAACCAGTTCTCCAGCAAGAAAAGTCCCCCAAAGGCCCATCTTGTGCAGACCCATCCGTGCCTGCCTGCAGGGAAGGTGTAAAAGCCTTTCCCTGAAATACCGTCACCAAACACTGTTACGTCTCCACTTCCTTGCTTGGGACAAGAAATAGTAACCCCTATCTATGACCCATATGCTCAAAAGAAAGAGAAAATAATTCCACTGAGTCATGGATTTGGAGGAATTATTTTCTAGCCCAGCCGCTTTCTAATGCATGACTTCCCTCCTCCAAACCCAAGCTCTGGACGCCTTTCCTCCAAGGACAGCTACTCCACTCTCTGCAGAAGCCCAGGGATCAGTGGGCATAAAGCACTTGGCAAAGGCAGAACGTCTCTGGACTCTCCCTCTGTCTACCTATCTGAGGCCATCTCCTGCGGTAGGTATTGGTTTCTCTTTTATTCCACGCCACCCCCTAATAGGGAAGACACCGTGGATTCTGGACACTGAGGTGCAGCAGAGGAAGAAGTCAGTCAGAAGTGGCTGGGGCGTGGAGCACTGTCGTCACCAATGGTCTTCCCTCGCAGGGCAACCAAACCCTCCCTTTGAAGCTGTGCTTTTAGCTGTGGGAACTGGGCATTTTTAAAGGATGTTGCAAATTGCAGTGTATCCAGCAGAGGGTGGCCAGGCTGGAGAGAGGTCCACAAGTCGTCTCATATGGGAGATGCTTAGCTTGCAGAAGAAAAATAAGCAGGTGGGAGGGCAGGAGAGCACATAGAAGAAGACTATTTTCTGATGCTCTAAAAGGACAACTGAGCAATAACGGGGAAGCTCTGGGGACCTGCCCATGATGACCGCCAGCACTCGCGCGCATCGGCCTGGGCCAGCCTGGGACCACCCGGGCCCTCGCGGCTCTGCGCAGGCGTCGGCCTGGGCCAGCCTGGGACCGCCCGGGCCCTCGCGGCTCTGCGCAGGCGTCCGGCGGCGCAGGCGGGCGCGGGTCTGCCGGAAGCGGAAGTGACGTGGCCACCCCTCCCGCTCGAGTCAGTGCGGGTTCACTGGGAGGAGGGTGGTGGCTGGTGTTTGTGATTCAAGCTGCTCTGTCAAGCTGGTTTGATTTTCTTTACCAGTTTTCTAGGTTTTTTCCTCAGCGAGTTTTATCTGGGGGCTGGGGTGGAGAGGGGCCGCGGACATCAGGGCGGCTTTGGTCCTGGTTCAGTCGTCAGCCAGAGGTCGTCCTCCCCATGGAAGAGTCTTGCTGCAAACCTCGCTTGCTGCCACAGATTTCATACTTTGCAAATGAAATTACACCCGCATGTCTACAGCACGAACAGCATGTTTCATGGCATGAGGTGGAAACTACGAGGAATTGCTGCCTTTGCCTTTGTGGTACAAGAATTAGAACGTTCACGATGAAAACAACATGCATCCCAGTGACAAAGGCAACAGTCCCACGGCGGTTCTGCTTTTCGTATGCTTTAAAGGAAATTATGGACAATACTAGATAATAAGTCGCTTTTAGAAATAAAATGCAAATTTGGGTGTCACTTTAAGTTATGGCCTTTGTATCCTAGAATAGAGTTCAGCTGCACTAACCACTTCATTCACTAAGATGAAGAACTAAGTTCAGCCACACAGTATCTGTGAGGTTGTATTTTTATAATAAACAAGAGCTAAAGCTAACAGGACACATTTTAGATTTTATAACATTTTATGATGGGTCCACAGGTATTCAGTCTATTTTTCACTCCTCTGTATACTTCAGCTCTCTCTACCTGAACCCCCCCAGCTCCCCACAACCCCACACACACTTAAAGAAGAGGAAGGAAAGAGACGCCGTGGAGGCACAGTGACCGCCCAGGTCATGCAGCTGGAAGACCCAGAGCAGCCTCGGGGTTCCTGTCCTGCCCCAGGGCTCCGCAAATCTTTTCCATGCACACACAGTAAGTATATTAGGCTTTAGGGGTCATACGGTCTATTACAACTACCCAACCTTGACAGTGCCTCTCAAAATGAGCCAAAGGCAATATGTAAACAAATCAGTGTGACCATATGCCAGTGAAACTTCACTTATGAACAGTGAAAATTCAATTTCTTATAAATTTCATGAGTCATGAAATATTATTCTTTAGATTTTTTTTTCAAGTATTTAAAAATGAACAATGGTTATTATTTGCTCACAGGCCATACAAACTAGGCAACAGGCTGGATTTGGCTCAGGGGTCATAATTTGCACGCCACTGACTTAGAGGATTTTTAAAGAAAATTTTAATATAAATAATCTCTATTGTTGCCATACTTTCACAATTCTCACTTCACATAGTATCATCACTATACCTACCTTATACTGTCTTTTTTTTAAATTTCATTTTTCATCATAAGAGGAAGCTATAGTTAAAACAGTGAAATATCCTTCTTTTCACCCACATT